TGTGCTGGTGACTGTGTTTGGTGCCTTCACCCCGCAGCAGCGTTTGATTGTGTTGAAGCCGTAGTGCGAGCGCTGTAGTTTTGTGTATGTTCTTTTGAATGTGTGATTTACATATTGAGTCGTTCTTTGCTGTAGTTAGATGTTTTGTCTTTCGGTTGCTTCACACTTCTGTGCCCCTGGGGTGTTTTGTTCTGCTTTGATTTGTGTTGTTAACAAGCGGCACGCATTGGGTGTAGATATTTTTTTTTCTACTGTTTGTTTGCTTGTTTTCGTTTGCAGGAGGGGGTGCTGTTTCTTTGTTTAGAGTGTTGGGTCAGCGAACGTCACAAAGCGTTGTAGTGAAGGTTCTGCTGACATTCAATGAGCGGGGTGGCTGCTTATAGCGTTTAATAATTCTGGAGCTACCTGTACAAGTGCCATGAGTGGTTGGTGACAGGGGGTTTCCCTCTTTGTAGAGCTTGCGTGGTCTAGTGCCTTGCCTTGAATGATTTAATGAGTGTGGTGCGCGTGTTTTTTTTTGTGCTATTTGTTTGGTGGCCTGGAATTGGAGTGGATTCGTGCATTCCTGAATTGTTGTGGTACGCCTGCGCGCCACACCGTAACGGTTGTGTGGGATGGAGATTAAAGTAGAAGTTTGGGTGATACTGCATTTAACGACTCAACGATCAACTTCCTCACGGTGTCTCTTTTTGAACGGCCCATGGGTAGATCTGTTCATTCTTGGTGTGGATGGGGCTCGTTGTCTTCATGCTGGCATCCTGCGGAGCGCAGTTGTCTGCACTTATTCTGCCAGGGCGCGACTGTTGGCGTGCACTGTGCCCCGCAAGACGTACTGCGTGCGCTCGTACACCATGCTTGGGTAACCAGAATGCTTCCGTTTTAACAGAGATATTGGGTCTTTGGATTCTTCTCATGTGGCGCGTGCAACGCAGGGGATACAGCAGGAAGACGCATGGAACTTTGTGATTGCTCAACGACGTGCAATGCTGTTGAATATTGCTCTCGTTGCTCGAAAGGCATCGTCTTCGCTGCACTGAATCCCAGACTTGTGTTACTTTCGCTTCTACAGTGGAGAGCAGCGACATGTTTAACTGCTGTGTTATAATGGTCCTTGCATTGGGCCCACTATCAGAGACTTCAATGACCTCTCCATTCTTGGTCACCCCTTTACACCGGCACAGTGCCGAAAGCAGCTATTACGGCCGTCCAATGTTTATAAATGTAGCTTGTGCCGCGAGCACATATTTCTCTGCTTGCAGTGTGCATTCCTCACGCTTTCTTTCTCTACCTTTGAGCTGCAGAGATACACAGCAGCCATGCCACAGCACCCTCTAAGGAAGCGTGCTGGAAAAATGTTGTTTTTCATCATGGCCTTGACCTCTGTAGTTTTACTCCACGTTTTTTATGCAGGATCAATGATGGAGTCGTTGGATTTGTCTGCTGGCTCCTTTTCCCTGGTTTCCCGCAGCGCAGCTACCAGTGTCGAGGATGAATCTCTCAGGTACATTCCACCCACTGTTGTCCGTGCGTGGGAGGCGAGCGACTTCCTCATTGCACTCGGCATCCCATCTGTGGACATCGATGCGCGGCGGAGGCGCCGCAACCTCCAGCGTTCAACGCTTTGGACTTTCCCTGGAGTGGCGACGAAATCCACCGACTTCACCGGTGCGATGCTGGTGCTGTACGTACTTGCGCGGCACCCGTCGAACAACTTCACGTACTCCGCGGAACTTCCGGAGGAGGCGGCGGAGTGGCACGATGTGATTGCGCTGCCGATGAATGAGGGGCGCTCCTCGACGAACAAGACGATCGGCGGCGGCGGCTACTGGGGCATGGAGGCGGAGGTTGGGCTGAGCCGCAAGGTGTTCCTGTGGTTTGAGATGGCTCTGTGGCTCTTCCCGAATGCGAGCTACATTGCGAAGGGCGATGATGATTCGTTCCTACGTGTGCCGCAGTACCTCGCAGACCTGAACACACTGCCGCGCCGTGGTATCTACTGGGGAATGATTTATTTTAGAGCGCTCTACCAAGGGAATGACACAGTCGAATATGGATACGCAGCCGGAACGTGTGCCACACTCTCGCGGAATGTAGTGGAGAGTTTCGTCTCGTATGAGCCGATGCAGCGTCTTGTGCGCCTTCCGTACACCAAGGAGCGGGAACCGATGTTCGTGTACCTGAACATGACGCACGAAGATCTGATGATTGGAAGAATTCTGGTTGAGGTGAAGCCGAACAAGTTGTTATTTGTAAAGGAGCCGACGTGTCGCTATCACAATCTTCGTTATGGAGCTTGCACGGGGCCTGTGAGTGACAGTTCTGTCGTGGTTCATGATACCAGCGCGGAGGAGTACGTTGATCTTTTCGAACGGTTTAAGCACGACCTTGTACCCAACCCAAAATCGTACTGGAGAGGGCGGGGCTATCTTGTTTTCTACTGTTGATGTTACGTGTTGTTGTTTATCGAGGGTTTTTTATTATTATGAGAATGCAGAAGCTTATTTGCTATCTTGTACTACACGGAGAAACTGTTCTTACACGCAAATGGTCATGGCGGCAGTCGTGTGCTATTCACTCTATAGAATTACCGGAGGTGGATCCTTGCGCATGAGTACTCTGTGCTGGAATTCAGGGCATGGAGGCGTATAGGCGCTTACATAATGTGCAATAATTCTGTGTGTGTGTATACATCTATACATATACATACACTGAGTAGTCTTGTCGCGCAGGTTATATCGGCGTTACCCTCATTTCCCTTTTCACAATCCTACGTCTTTGTATTTTGTGCTTCTGACGTTTTTGTTTGTTTTGCTTTTGGTGCCTACCTCTGCTTTTTTGAGCTTCTTGTGTTTCTGCTGTTTTTTGTGTGCCAAGCCGCAGCAATGCTAAGCGCTTGGATGGTTCCACATGCGTGAAGTTGTTATGCCTGCTGCGCACGGTGTTCCGTCTGTGCTCTTAGCTGTACTGTGTGGTATAGAATACAATACGTTACTTGGCGCGGCGTGCGTTGGCCAGGACGCAGTCGAGTACCCTGATTGCGGTTGAGGCACATTGTAAAGGTGGTACGGAATATTTGCGCTCACCGTCTGTTCTCCCCTCACATGGGCTACGCTGCGTGAAATACGAACGGCGTGTTGCTTCGTGAGCCGCAGTACCTTTCTGATCTGCACGTGCTGGTGCATCGTGTCGTCTGCTGGGGAGCGCTGGGGATCGACCGCCTTTTCAGTTGTCTTTTTCTTCCTTTGTGGTGTGTGCTACAAGTTGGCGAAAGGTGTGGTGGAGCTTTTTGCTTCGTATAAGTCACAGCCGCTTCTTGTGTGCCTGCCGTGCAGCAGGGAACTGTGGGTTGGGGCTTCTGTCGATGCGCATGGCACAGGAGGACGCTGCGATACTCTTTGCGCTGACGGTGTCTGGCTGCATCCGTCATCTCCTGTTCGCGCAGGAACCGGCGTGCTCCTTCGACGATGACCACAAAGGCTAGTAATGGGATACGGCATGCGGGAGAGTGGCTGCTGTGAGCTCATGGTACACTGCGGGAATGCCAGTGGAACGTTCATAAGGTGCAGTAAACTCTTGAGGCATCTTATTGTGCTGCTTTGCTGACTACAACTGATGTGTGTGTGAGTGCGTGAGTTTGTTGTCGTCTGGTGGATGAGCAGAATTTTTGATGTCTGTGTATTTATGCTCTCCTCCCTCCATGGGTTGGATCGTGCGATCGAGGCACTGGTGAAGGCTTGGTGCCCCTATGTTGCGTGACTTCCTCGTGGTGCCGTTCTGGATGTGTTACTCTCACCTTGTGAGCCTCACATGCAGCTTTAGTTGGACTGTACCGTGTGCCTTATTCAGTTTCACCAAGTGCGGTTTTTGTAGCTGCTTGCTCACTACTTGAACGGCCCTTTATCCTGAGTAGGTACTCTGTCAGACTTTGTGGGCAGGCGGATGCCGACGGTTTGCTTTGATTGGATAGCGTGAATGTTCTGTGGTTGGGAAGCTCTCTAGTCTACCTCTGACGTGTTGTGTAAATGCTTCACAGGGAACAAAGTGCATTTGCCGTTGCCGTATCAGCAGTGCTTTGTTAATGGCTCACTACCGTGTGCGTGTCTGTGTGCCACCGCGTGAAGCAATTGCGTGGTGAAGTGCAGGGATATGGTGGGCCTTCTTGTTCTGCTATAGTGTGGTTGGTGTGGCAACTGCCCCCTGGTAGACACGCAGTATGGCATTCTTTTCCGTTGCTGTTTATCTGTTTAGCTGAAGCT